CATTCACTGCAAAGTAGCGCTCCACCCTGTAGATCCACCCATAAGCATCCTCTCCTTCAAAAATAGGAAGCTTTAATTTTCTCATGCGGTTGTCGGCTCGGTTGAAGGGTCTTCCATCTCCCCATGTCCCCTGAGTGAATCCCTCCCCCGGTGGTCTTCCCCTCCTCTCCCCCGGGTAAGGATTTTGGATCCCCCGCCATGGTGGTTCTCTTGGCTCACCATAACCCATGTCGTAGTCATCCCTTCTTCCTCCCTGCTCCCACGTGGCACGGTTCCCTTCCGGAAATCCCCCCATCTGATTCGGCCACCCTTCACGTGTGTTGTGGAGGCCCACCGAGCCCATGTGTGGCCGGCCCCCTTGACCACCGGTCATTCCCAAAGGCCGCCCACTTCAGACCCTTCTCCCCCTTCCCTTGACCATTTCCCTTGCATGCCATTTTCACTCTGATTTACTCCTTCCCTAATTGGGAAATTAGGGTTAGGGTTAGGGTTTGTCACCGGAGATTTTCCTTTTTCCTTAGGATTTGATGGAACAACTTGGGCTTCTAACAATTTCCGAATCAACTCTTCCATTCCCCCAAATCTCTCCTCTATGGTTGAGAATTTTCCCTCCAACGAAGAAAGTTTCTCACCCACTTCCTCTTTCAATTGGCCCATTTCCCCCTCCAAAACTTCTACCTTTTTTGATGCCATGTCGTCTAGGATCGAGAGCTCTGATACCAAATTGATACGCCCTAGGGTTTCACAATTTCAGTTTTGCCCTAATTTCCCCCAAAAGAGAGGAATTTCTCCACCAAAATCAAAGAGAAACAATCACAAGAGAGTTGGGATGAAAAACAAGAACCTTTGCATTAGAAAACCAAGAGAAAACAAGATAAGTTTGTCCACTTCGAGAATGATAAGATCTCCCACAAGAAAATCCTAGAAAAGAACAAGAAGAAGACTAGGAGAAGAAAACTAGAAAGAGACTTCCTTTTTCATCATCCCCAAAACTAAACCCTAATGGCCCTCTTCATACCATCCCAAAATTCCTCCCATACCCAAATTACCCCCACTTAAGTGGGTGGGTCCCTTTGGTCCCTCTCTTCCGCCTGTAGACCCGCACGGGTCCAGGCCGGACCGGGTGAACCGGTCCATCAGTCTCTTGTTTAGCTTTGAAGTACTCTTTTCTCTTGTTTTCCTATAACCATTTCAAATGAAGAAAATAATGAAGATGGTTAAATATGTCAAACATTTAAACTTCACTGAATGGAATAGCCTTTTTGCACGTGATAGGAGAATATCAAATTCTCTCCTCTAGGATTTTGATGTTAAGATCTTCAAATATAAGATTAAAATCATAGTTCTCTTTAGCATCAGTAAAACTTGTGGCATATATGACTTAAAAGAACATTTGGGATATTCAACAAGATGAAAAAAAAAATTATTTAATTGTTTAGATAACATTAGAATATAGCTATGATTTTTAATGTGCGGTCTTTCAAAATTAAACACATAATTGTTGACTAATTGATAATTAGAATGTATTTGATGGTTTTGCCTGGTGAAATATGAGTAAAATAATATGTTTCTACAAGACTTGCTATCATCTTTATTTTTTCAAATACTTTATGAATGATTAAATTGTTATAGAAATTGATGAAAATCAATTCCAAGGAGCCAGTTGATTTTGAAGATCATACAAGGTAAAAAATGTAAAATTATGAGAAGAATGTGCATTCGCCTCCTGAGAGAAGAAAATTTATTTCTTTTTATAACTCCCTTTCAATGTAGTTTTCTTCAGTTGAACTTCAAGAAAATTAGATTTGTAAAAAAAAATTTCTGTAACATTTAAAATCCATATATCTAACACATAATAGTATATTTTGAATGCACTGTGCTTTCTTGGTCCACTTGCATTGCAAAATTCTTGCAAGACGCAAATAGATACTTAACATTACGTTCATAAATTATGAGCAAACACTAGGCACTAATTTTTTTTAATAAAAGTAACCTTTTCATTTGGCAAACTAATCATTTACTATTCAACTTCTACAATTTTATCTTATATTTGAAGGAATTAACCTAAGGTTCTATGATTTATCGATATTTATTTTTCAATCCACATACTTTCTTGTATTATTTATAATCCTATTTACTTTCTTTTTTCAAAATTTATCAAACAATTACCTTTGATATTGTAACTCACATAAGTGTCTCAAGTTTTACAGATCCACCTACCACTTTCCTCTCTAAATCTGATAAAATGATTTTGTGCGGTCACCGGACCGTCCGGAGACGAATGAGAGCGCGCCACGCCACCCGGTACACAGTACCAGTATACAGCAAAAAAGTGACATGACGCATTCTCATTTGTCTCCGGATGCCTTCCGATAACCCCACAAAATAATTAATCCTAAATCTAGGTGATGAATAATGGTAGCTAATTATCGCTTCCTTATGAATAGTTATTATTACATGCCTGGTAATAACATGATACAATTTTTTAATAATCAAATGAGGTTAGACAAGAGAAAAATCACCAAATAACTAGTAATAATCAGATCTAACTTTTCGGTAACCATATGACAGCGAAAAATAGAAAGACTAAAAATGATAGGACTCCAAAATAAACTTTTTTTCTAAAAAGGACTGATAGGTATTATTTGAAAATGGAAGCACTAGGTATCAGTTGAAAATGACAGGACTAACAAAGAAATGTACTTAAATTCTAAGAACTAAGAGCAATTCATCCTTAGAATTCTGAGGACAAAGTAGTTTATTAAACACTTCCTATATGAAGTGTATGGAGTGTACCACAAATAGCAACTACATTCACTTAATAAACAAAACAAAGCTAGTTGGGAAAATTAAACGAGACATCAGTCAAATATAAGAAAATGGAAGTCTGTCAACCAAAGCAAATAGAAAAAGGAGGATGAGATTCACAAGGAATACAAATGGCTTTTATTTCATGAACCCAAGAAGCACAAAGAAATTACAATATTAGCATATTACGCTTACAGAAGCGAACAAAAAAAGGTAGAAAAATCATTGCTATTGGGCTAAATGTAATAGATCTGAAGATGCACACCTGAGCACAATATCCAAGTTTCATGTCCAAACCCCAACCATGTATCAGGTCATTCTGCATAATGACAATTGTAGTTAAATAGAGCAATCTGGTTAATTCTCTAGTAAACTGAATAGTAAAGATTTCAACCAAAAAAAAAAGCTCCAAAATCTTAGGAAGAAGCTCAAAATTTAATCTATATTTTCCAATAAAGGCCTCACTTTAGCATATTAGTTTACATAAAGATCCAAGACTATAAATCTGATAGGAAATACTTGCGTTCACAAGCAACCCTAACCAAAACCAAGTACCACAACAAGGAAAACTGCTGTTCACAGCAGTTAAACAGCCAAAAACAGTGGAAATCAGAGGAAAACTGAGAGAAAACTTGTGGAAAAACCAATAGAGCAATTGTATTTCACTAGTAGATTCAAGAAAACAAGCAAAGATACAATTTCCTTTAATTCCAGAGGAAGGAATAACTCTCCAAATCTCCGGCAACGCCAAGAGCCCAAAAGCAAGAAACCCTAGATCTCAAAAATACATTCAAATTCAAGATGATCCCTAATTCCCTCATTACTCCCTAATTAAAACTAAAGGAAAGATACAAATTCCCTAAACACCCTTCTAATTCAAATTTTCCCTCCAAACGAAGTGTTTAATGCATGCTTGGGCCCACCCAAACTTCCTCCCCCTTCTCTACTTAGTTCCGCCCGTCATTGGCCCGCCGGGTGTAGAACTGGACTGGTCCAGCTGGGACCAATCCAAGCAAAACATTACTCCCCTCCCAAAGATTCACCTTGTCCTCAAGGTGAAAGTACGGGAACTGCTGCTTCAACATCTCATAGGGCTCCCAAGTGGCCTCGTAGTTAGGGAGATCCTTCCATTTGATCAACACCTCTTTTTTTCCCTTTTTATCCAACATTACCCCTTCCAGCTCCACGGGTTCCATGACCATCTCCAAATCCTCTGTCAATGATGCTGGTAATTCAACACTAGCTGCATGCTCTCCTAGTGCTCTCCTTAGCTGTGACACATGAAACATCGGGTGTATGGTAGCATAGGATGGTAACTTCAAACGATACGCCGCTGCTCCAATCTTCCCCAAAATCTCATAAGGACCAAAGTATCTCAGAGCCACTTTCTCATTCCTCCTGTTAGCCACTGATTTTTTCCTGCAGGGCCTTAGTTTCAAGTACACCTCCCCCACTTCATATTGTATGTCTCTCCTGTGTGTATCTGCTCGCTTCTTCATGATTTGTTGTGCTCTTCCCAAATGTCTCTTCAATTCCTTCAACATCTGATCTCTTTCCTCAAGGTATTGTTCAACTGAAGAGATAGGTGTACTTCCTCTCCCATAGTGCACTATGTGTGGGGGTCCCTCCCATACAACACTTTGAATGTGGTCATCTGAAAAGCAGAATGGTACGAGGTGTTGTACCAGTACTCAGCCCATGGTAATCATTTAGCCCACTTCCGTGGTGTTTCTGAAGCAAAACACCTCAAATATGTCTCCAAGCTCCGGTTTACCACCTCTGTCTGTCCATCTGTTTGAGGATGGTAGACGGTACTTCTCTTGAGAACAGTGCCCTACATTCTGAACAGTTCCCTCCAAAACTGACCAAGGAATGCTTTGTCTCTATCGGACACAATTGATTCAGGCAACCCGTGTAATCTCACCACTTCTCTGATAAAAGCTGCTGCCACTGATACCGCGGTGTACGGATGTCGTAGGAGGATGAAATGTGCATACTTACTGAGTCGGTCCACCACCACCAAAATGACTGTGAATCCCTCTGAGCGGGTAGGCCGTCGATGAAATCCATTGACACTTCCTCCCATACTCTATTTGGAAGTGCCAATGGTTGGAGTAACCCTCCTGGTGCCATGGCCGTGTATTTATTTCTCTGGCACACCTTGCCACCAACTCCTCCACATCCTTATACATTTACTTCCAGTAGAGCTCAGCTGCTAACCTCCTATATGTCTTATGCACTCATGAATGGCCTCCAACTGCGCTGCCATGGAACTCCTGCAACAAGTGGGGGGAATATGTACGGAAGTTTGTGGCATCACAAACCTCCCTTGATACAGTAGTCTCTCCCCCTTAATGCAGTAACCCGAATGGCTACTCTTGTCTTTCCTCATATCCTCCCTGATCTTTCCCAATTCTTCATCTAACCTGCTCTCTTCCTTGATGCCCCCCATGCTTTCTTCCTTGATGGCCCCCCAGTCGACCATCAAGGGTACAGACAGAGCTAACTCCTGGAGCTCCCCCACACATCTGGATAGGGCGTCCACTGCTTTATTTTCGAAACCATGCATGTACTGGATCTCGAAATCGTAGGCTCGTAGCCCAAAAGTTTGGATAACCACTGCTGATGCTCCTTAATCACCATCCTTTGCTCAAAGAGGTACTTTAAACTCCTCTGATCAGTCTGGACAATGAAGTGTCGACCCAAAAGATAGGGGCGCCACTTCTGAATGGCCAAGACAATCACCATCAGCTCCCTCTCGTGCATTGACTTCATTCTTGCCCTAGTTGATAGCACTTGACTGAAGTATGCTACAGGCCTGTGGTTCTGCATCAACACTGCTCCCAACCCATATCCTGACGCATCGGTCTCTACAATAAAGTCCTGGCTGAAATCTGGAAGGGCTAAAACATGAACAGTGGTCATGGCTTCCTTCAACCTCTCAAAGGCCTGGGTTGCTGCATCTCACTAGTAGTTGTCTTTCTTCAGCTGCTCAGTCAAGGGCCATGCAATGGTACCATACCCCTTCATGAACTTCCTGTAATAGCCAGACAATCCTAGGAAACCCCTCAACTCTCTTAGGTTCCTAGGTAGTGGTCATTTTTGCATTGCTTCAATTTTGGTTTGGTCCGCTGCCACTCCTTGGGATACCACATGTCCCAAATATTCTACACTAGACTAAGCAAAATTGCATTTCTTCATATTGGCTCTCAATTGATGCTCCTGCAATACTTCTAAGATCATCCTCAATTGTTCCAAGTGCTCCTCCCCAGTCTTGTTGTATACCAGAATGTCATCAAAGAAAACCAGGACAAAGTTCCTGAGGTACGGCTTGAACACCCAGTTCATCAAGGACTGAAACGTAGCATGAGCATTAGTCAACCCAAAGGGCATTACCAGAAATTCATAATGCCCTTTATGTGTCCTGAACGCTATTTTTGGAACATCTACCCCCCTCATTCTGATCTGGTGGTATCCGGATTTTAAGTCCAGCTTGGAAAATATCACTGCTCCATGTAGCTCGTCCAGCAGCTCATCAATCATCGGAATTGGGAACTTGTCTAGTACAGTGCCTTTATTCAAAGCCCTGTAATCCACACAAAATCTCCAACTCACATCCTTCTTCTTGACCAGGAGAATTGGACTAGAAAAATGGTTGTTGCTGGGTATGATGATCCCCGCCTCCAGCATTTCCCGGATCAACTTCTCAATCTCATCTTTCTGAATCTGTGGGTAACAGTAAGGGCGGACGCTGATCGGTGTCTCCCCTTCTTTCAAAGTAATGGCATGCTCCAACTCTCTCTGAGGAGGTAAACCTTGGGGAGGTTGAAAAACCTCGCTGAATTGGTGTATGAGCGGCTGTACTGTAGGGTACATTGCCTTCTTCCTCTAATCTGACCACTTCTAGGCAGTGCAACTCGACTAAGTAGCCTCCTCCCTCCTCCTGAATGGTTCTGATTAGGGATTTGAGAGAAACCCCTGCCTTGGTCAGCCCGGCATTACCCTGAATCATCCTCCTTCTTCCCCCCACCACCAACTCCATCCTCAGTGTACCCCAATTGATCTTGGTCTCTCCCAATGTCTGCAGCCACTTCATCCCCAAGATGACGTCAGTGCTTCCCAATTCCAAGGGAAGTAAGTCCTCCCTCACCTGGATCCCCTGAATCTTCAGCACCACCCCTCTACAAACTCTACCCATTTCCACCTTTCGCGTGCCCATCATCACCCCATAACCTCCTGTATCCACCAACTCCATCCCCAACAGCTCAACGATCTGGTTGGAAATAAAATTGTGGGTTGCCCCACTATCAATCATCACCACCACCTCACGGTCAACTATCTCCCCTTTCACTTTCATAGTGTGACTCGGAGTGAATCTCACTACGGAGTTCAAAGATACTTCTACCACATCCAGGTGCAGCTTCTCCTCCTCTTCAGATCTGCTCCCACCTCCCTCCTCGTCTTCCTCGTCTTCATAGACAAGGAGAACCTGAAGAGTTTGGTCCTTGCACCTATGCCCCGGCATGTACTTCTCATCACATCTGAAGCAAAACCTCTTCGCCCTCTTGTCCTGCACCTCCTTCTCTGTCAGCTTTTTGAATTGTCCCCCATTTCCCCCTCTGGTCTTCTCCTTTGGCGCTTCCTTCAGACTCCCTGGCGCTGCCCCTTTTGATGGTAGGAAAGTGGTAGTCATCTTATATGACCACCTTGAATAGTTCCCTCTAGCCTCTATTTCTGATTTCTTCTGATCTTCCACCAACTGTGCCAGCTCCATAGCCTTCCCTAGGTTCCTTGACTCCAGCACCCTGACTACTGTTCGTATCTCAGGTTTAAGCCCCTTCATGAAGTTTCCTTCTAGGGTTCACTCTTAAATGTGCTACAATCGGCTAGCAAAGTACTCAAACCTGTCCCGGTAATCTGCCACAGTCCCCTCCTGAGTCAAGGCAAAGAATTGCTCATAGAAGTCTCCTCCCCCATCGGCTCGAAAACGCTCTAATAGGCAATCTTTGAACTCTCTGCAGCTCTGGATGGGCTCCCTCCTGTCACGCCACTGATACCAGGCCAAGGCTTTTCCTTCCAAACACAATCCCGCCGTCTTCAGCTTCTCTTCCTCTATAAACCCGTTGATAATGAAGTAACGCTCCACCTTGTAGAACCGTCCATGGCCGTCTTCACCCTCAAAGACGGGCATCTTCAACTTCTTCACCCGTGGGTCTCCCCCGTGCCCCCTGAATCCTTCATAGCCTCCCATTCCTCGAAGATGAGGTGCTCCCCAATTGTCACGATCTTCCCTCCGGCGATTATACCCAAACCCTTCCTCATAATCCCCTCTTCTCCTTTCAAAATCAACACCTCGGCGATGAAAATCTTCCCTTCTCCCTCCGAAATTAGCACCCCTTCGGTCATTTCCCAGACTCATCTCCTCTCTAGAAAGTGGCTCTATGGTGGCATGTCGTCCTCTCCCTCAAGAATCTCCACTTCCGGATTTCTCCTTCCCCTAGACAGGTTCGGATATCCTCCAATGACATGGCCTACGGTGGTCTCTCTTACTTCCGATGTCGTCGGATTTGTCTTCATCTCAAGTAATTTTAAGAGGTTTCTCAAAATCACCAAGTATTTTCCTAATTCGGTTGGGTTACATCAAGGATCAGCCTTAAGCCCATATCTTTTTACTTTAGTCATGGATGTTCTCACTAGACATTTGCAAGAGGATGTACCTTGGTGTATGCTTTTTGCTGATGATATTCTTCTTGTTGATAAGACTAGAGAGGGAGTTGAAGGTAAACTTGAATTATGGAGGTCAACCTTAGAGTCTAAAGGTTTTCGCTTGAGTAGATCTAAAACGGAATATATGGAGTGTAATTTTAGTAGTAATAGACCTAGTGAGGGGATTGTGACTTTGGGCGATCAAGTCATTAATAAGAGTACACGTTTTAGATATCTTGGATCTATTGTTCAGAGTGATGGTGAAATAGATGGGGATATTATCAGCAGAATTCAAGTTGGATGGTTGAAGTGGAGGAATGCATCGGGCTTGTTATGTGATAGAAATGTACCCCTCAAACTTAAGGGAAAATTCTATAAGATGGTAGTGAGGCCTGCAATGCTTTATGGTGCCGAATGTTGGCCTTTAAAAGAGAAGCATAATACTAAGTTAAGTGTGGCAGAGATGAGGATGCTCAGGTGGATGAGTGGCTTTACCCTTAGAGACAGGATACGAAATGAGCATATACGTGAAAAGGTTGGAGTAGCTCCAGTAGAAGATAAGATTAGAGAAAGTCGCCTTAGATGGTTTGGTCACATAAAACGGCGGCCTTGCGATGACCCGGTTAGGAGAGTAGAGGTATTAGATTTGACTTATGTTAAGAAAGGTAGGGGTAGACCTAAAAAGACTTTGTTAGAAAATATTAGGAATGACCTTTCTTTATTAGATTTAAACGAGAATTTGACTTTTAATAGGACACAATGGAGAAAAAGGATTCATGTAGCCGACCCCACGTAGTGGGATAAAGGCTTGATGTTGTTGTTGTTGTCAAGTAATTTTTTTAGCATTTCTTCCATCACGGCGAACTTCCCCTCCAACCTTTCATTGTTGGTGGTGATTTGATTCTGAAAATCGAAAAATCATCCCTCCAAATCGGATTTCAATTGTCCGACTTCGCCTTCCAAGACTTCTACCTTCTTTCCGGCCATCGTTCTTCCCCACGGATCTCAAGTACTCACTTCCGGAAGCCAAAAACTCGCTGAAAAAAAAGGATTTCAGCCGCTTAAGGTCCCAAATCGATGCTCTGATACCAATTTGATAGTAAATACTTGCGTTCACAAGCAACCCTAACCAAAACCAAGTACCACAACAAGGAAAACTGCTGTTCACAGCAGTTAAACAGACAAAAACAGTGGAAATAAGAGGAAAACTGAGAGAAAACTTGTGGGAAAACCAATAGAGCAATTGTATTTCACTAGTAGATTCAAGAAAACAAAACAAAGATATAATTTCCTTCAATTCAAGAGGAAGGAATAACTCTTCAAATCTGCGGCAATGTCAAGAGCCCAAAGCAAGTAATCCTAGATCTCAAAAATACATTCAAATTCAAGATGATCCCTAATTTCCTCATTACTCCCTAATTAAAGCTAAAGGAAAGATAAAAATTCCCTAAACACCCTTCTAATTTAAATTTTCCCCTCTAAACGAAGTGTTTAATGCATGCTTGGGCCCACCCAAACTTCTGCCCCCTTCTCTGCTTGGTTCCGCCCGGCATTGGCCCGCCGGGTGTAGAACTGGACCGGTCCAGCTGGGACCAGTCCAAGCGTACCAAAATCATAAAAGAAACATGTGGCATTTGACCTTTACATAATTAACATAACACAGTGCAGATACTCTACATACAAATTAAAATACATCCCAGGCATATAACCATGGAGCACTGCTTTTAAATTTATTTATTTTGACAAAAACTACATATTAATCGGAATCAAAGCACAGAATACAAGAAAAATAGCTGTGTTAAATGTTGAGAATATGTCAATAAAGCCAAGATATACAAGCTTAAAAAGTAGAAAGAAAAAAGAAAAAACCAATATCTTCCCATCAAAATTCAGCATTTGTATACGAAAATTAAAAAAAAAAATTATTCATTATCCATCATTATGCCAATCAAAATGAGTTGTGGTTGACTTATTGGGTCCTAATTCTCCATTCATTAATGCAAAGCGATGAATGAAGTGTTAAAAAACCTATCTTGTGCAAATCCTTATGCTCAACTTCTATTCATGGTTGAATGATTGAATCCAATACAATCTTTTTCTCATAAACTTCAACAAAAAATTTAGCTGCTTATCACATCAGCGTTTCTTCTAGCATTTATTTTACAAACCAAAATCAGTTGAGTTTATTTTTTATTATTTTATCATAAAAAAAAAACATTACTCTAATCAATACTTAGAATAAAATCATTTCTCAGCAGTTCCAAGTTTTTCTAAACATCCATTTTAAAATTTGTATTTTCACCATATTCAACTTGGCTATAGATATGTATTTTACAATTCAACAATCTGATTCATACAACATAAAGTGTCTAATTACTGTTTCACAAAATTTACCTATCCCAATGATATTCTCTAAACACAAAAAAATCTGACACACTTCAATAGTTTAACCACCCAAGCTAAACTCTAGAATATATATCCTCTTCTCTAATGCCAAAAAGAAAAAAAAAGAATTCAAAATTGTATGCTATAATGAAAGACATTGCAAAGTACTTAGAAAAGAGACAAAATATCAAGAAGAAAATGCAGATATAACATTAAACACATCATAATATTGGATCTCATAGCCATTTCAATTCAAAAAAAGATATGTTCAGTATCTTAAAGAAAAGGATAGGAAGTCAACCTGAATAAGATGCCACACACATCGCCATGCAGATTTGGAAAACACGGGAACCATTCCCTCAACCCATCTATCGACAGAATTCCAATTCAAGAAATATTGCAAGTAAGTCATCACACCAAAAAAAGAACAAAAAAAAAATTTAATTGGCAAGTAACCTACCTCACATAATAAATAGTCCAAGTATTTCTAGAAAACAAACAACAAAGCAAAGAGACAGAAAAGCATACAGATTATAGTTCATCTTATTAAAACTTTATGATGGGCGGCTTCAGTAATACTTTGCTTAGATTTGCCTGGACATAAGCCAATCACACTAAAGGAAACATTTAATAGTAAGACAACATTTGCTGTTAAATAAAGTAGATACAGAAGTCCTAAGCAGAACGTTGAAGCTCTCATTCCCTTCCTCCTACTGATACCTAGCAGCCGTCCTCAATTGTAACCATTTAAGTCACGTCATATAGGATTCGAAGTTATGGTATCTTGATATCTTCAAATATGGCTATTCTTGAGCGTTCCTTTCTTTCCTATGCCAAGGGCGTCTTCTTCTTCACATCTTTGCAAGTCCCAGCCACATACTTCTCCAATTAAGAAAGAGATCGTTGACTTCCTCTTTTTCATCGCAAACAGCTCTTCTACTGTGTCATGTTTTTCCTTTTCTCCCTCCCCTTTTCCTTTCTCCTTTCCATCACCCTTTTTGTTCCCAGCCATCGCTATTATTCTTAACTGTAGTTGTTGGATTGTTCATTTTGTTCCATGAAATTGTTCACACCAGTGCTATGGGGAACTTCATCATCTCACGACTTAATCTTGTAAAAGGGATGGTTATACTTAATTTGATTTAAGTGTTGATATATAATTGAAAAAGGATAAATTTTTAGTTGGATCACGTGTTTTAGTTTATATATATATATATATATATATATATATATATATATATATATTTCTTTGGTTTGTGCTGGTCAACATTAATTCTTTAGAGTTTGAGTTGTGTTCAAATGGTGATGCTTCACATCAGAGTTTGGGTTGTCAATAATATATGCTTCCAAATTTGCTCAAGGTGCACAGACAGAATTATACAAGTATGCATATCGAAGCTGGCTGCGGTTATTTTTACTTTAAAGAATTACATACACTATCAATACGGAGTTCAATATGAGATTTTCATATGCCATAGAAGCTTAAAGAATCTTTACCATGTAGGAACTTAAGGCAGAGACAATGACTTGAGCTGATGAAGTAAATAAAAAGCTAACGCAAATTTATTGGGTTAAAATCCTAAGAAGGCTAAAACATGATATTATAATTCTAATCTTTAGGGCATAATAAGCAACACAAATGGCTTATACAGACATAAGATAATGAAGTTCAGATAGCAAGGAATACTATTCTTCTTGTATAGAAAACCTGCTAATGAAGTAGAAAACTCATACCCAGTGCATGGAGGTCCTTTGCTTTCGTTTGAGCAATTTACGCTTCCACAAAAGTACACCCTCCTAAATTAGTAAGGCAAAAAAATTAAAGGATGAGGAACTGCACCATAAAATTTCTAAGGCTATATAAAATATTAGCTCAGGTCGATAAATATTACATCTACCTATGAACTTTTGTCTTTCTATTTCGGACCGTTATTCGATGGTGAATGTCAGATGAAAATTCTGGATCAACCGCAGGTTGTGAAATCTCCAATCCTTCAGAAAAAATTATCTGCATGTACCTGGAATTAAACAATTTCTTTTTTGCTTGTTAGCAGGATGGAAGGGATTGTAATTTGTAAGAAGCAGAAAAAAATAAAAATCAACACACAATGATTGCATGAAACTACGATGATCTGAACACAAAAAAGTACTAGGTAAAATTATCTGTACAAGGAAATATTAGAAAATTCAAGAGATTCCTATAATTTTCAAGAGATTCACGTAATTAAATAAAAGAAATTCAGGGCATTCCAAAGATCCAAGAACCAAATAGAGAGAACATTATATGTTTAGTTGCACAAAATATTTTTCTTTATTATTTTCTTTAATTAATTTTTAAGATCAGCGCTTATTTTAATATAAAAAGATTTCATGGAGACTAGATGTCATTTGATTAAAAATATTAATGGCTTTTACCCTAAGTGTGAAAATCTAATTTCCGTTGACCTAATTCCAAAATATGTGTAATGGTTTTGTTCCCATCAGCATATTCAGTTATTCTGGTTACAAGTGTTATATCATGAGAATAGCATCAACAGATGTAGAATTGGACAAATTTAAATGCCCCCTCTAGAAGAAAATGAATTTGAAATCATATATAATCAGAAGAAAAATAAAACTAAGCCGTCAAATGTGAATTATATTCCTCCCTTCAAAGAAGACATTCGAAGAAAAACAAGAGCTTTTTTTTTTATGGCCTTCAAAAATTCCTGCTCATACTTGAAAAACAAAAGGAAAAGAAAGAATAGAGAGCGATCTAGAAAAGATTCAAACTGGCATAGAAATTCATTAAAATGAGACAATGAAAGCAAGCTTGTTGAGGAAACTACAACCCTCACCAATAATCAATGTGTTAATTAAGGCTATAGAATCTACGTAATTAAGTAGCATAACTGCAAATATCTACATTTTACTACAAAAATATAGACGCAAGCATGTCATATTTCTTAGGGATAACTGAGTAGAAATTCAACCTCATAAATACCTTCCAGGATTAAAATAATCAACTCCTATATCTTCATCCCAGAGAAAAATATAATCATATAAAGCTACCACATCTGGATGTAGAAAGCGCTTCGCAAACCACCTGCAAGAAATTTTCTAAAAATTTATATCATTGAGGCTTACAAAAAGATCTATGCGGTCCATGCTTTTGTGGGGTATTTTGAGATAAATGTACGTTTCTCTGCCCAGGCATAATGCCAGATACCGGACATAACCAGGCCATTAACTAAATGATGCAGCATGCATGGTAAAAAAAGTACACGTGAATGCTTGAAGAGAACTGTTTCTTACGATTAACTTATAAAGATGTGTAACAATATATATTACCACTTTGTTTGGTTTTGAGCAAGTATGTGAATTGCCTTGTCAGTCCACCCAAGATCTTGCCAACCATTTACATTTCCATCATAATGAAAAAGTATAATGGAACAATTATCTGCTAAAAACTGAGCTAACAAGAATGGAAGACTCATTAGCTTTATATATAAAAGAAAAAGAGATAACCAAGCTCACTTTGAAGTAGATTATCCGCATACCTTCCGAACCATACTGTCTACATTTCGTTTTTGTGATATACCAACAGCAATTGCCAATAAACCAGAGAAGTTTACATTACTATCCTGAAAAGAAACACAATATTCATTTATCGTGATAAAATATAATGGCTGGGCATATCCCCATCCAGTTAGACGAAGTAAGAAAAAAAAAAAGTAAAACACTTTCTAACAAAAATAGCGTACCTAAAATACTATTTCAGGAAACAGCTTTTTCCAATGAAACATGACAATGCAGGAAGACAACAGTAAATCAGCCAAAATTTACAATCTAAACCAGATTTCCTAACAGAATCAGTCATGGCAAAATAAAGGATAAACCACAAAAATGTTGCCAGATCTGTGTTGAATGCGCAGTTCAAGAAGCTTGGAAGCAAACAATATGATATAGGGGAGCTCAAGCTTACTTAAGGCTAAAGTGGTTAATTGAGATCAAACAACAATCCAAATTAGATCAATGTTAGCCCTCTTTGAAATGAACAAGACTATTAATGATCCAAGCTTGGCTCGGACTGAACTAAGTCAGGTAGAGATTGGATGGGGATGAGCTAGCTTGAAATTTGATTGAAATAGAAATGACTTCATTGAAGGAATAACTGACAAGGTCACCCTAAACTATACATTAATGAGGGAATCCCTGTGAACAGATGAATGCCTTCATTGAGGCGATACTGATAAAAAAGCACAAGGGGATAGGAGATTGAAGTCATTATACCTTAAAAGATGGTTCCACATTGTAGCTTCACTCCAATGAATCATCAATATAGTTCCCTCCAAGCTCTACTAAACATTCAAGGATGAAGTTGCTTATAAAGGGAGGAGAGGCTCCTTCCTATCATATAAGGCAATATGGGATTGTATTTGGCAATGTAGGATTGAATCCCCTTTGAGAAGGTGAGGTAGCTGCAAGAAGTCCTTCAGCTGGGTAACACTTACTAAGGCTGTCATGGAGAAAGAAACAAGCGAATTCCAAATATCATTTTAATGATAGAAGAAACAAATCATCCATAAGAAGAAGACCACTAAGTCTTACCTAACATATTGCTAACTGCATTTTATTACATCAGATGGGTATTTATAGAAGTGCGAGGAATGGAATTTGAAGAGATAAGAAAGAAGGGGCCCATAATACAGTAAGTTCTTTAAATGCATAAGATGAAATTTTAATGCATATGTCCCTACTTGACATATCATCTTCTATGGTATTGAAAGTTATGATTCACCTTCTCCACACATTAAACTGTTGAATTTTGGAGACTTAATGGATAAGCTATTTCAAATTCACTGCAAATCCTCATTGATAAGTTACTTCAAATCCAAGCCAAATCTTAAAGAATACTATTCCCTTGTCCAAGCATGGTCCGAACATCTCATGCATGGCTCATGCAAAGTAAACACAATAGTTCTTTAAGGAATACACCACTACAAACTTCCCATTCAAGAATATATAAATTTATTTATAAAGAAAATATATTTTCCAAACATAAAGTACAACTCAAGAAAATATATTAGAATACAATGAGTTGTATTGCATCAGGCAACGTTTCATAGGAAACCAGTAGGTTGGTCGGGTTCATGTTGGGGAACAGTACACACGAGAGAAATCACTAGCAATAAAAACCGAGTTAAACAACTGCAAGGAAAAATAGAGAATAAAGAGATTAGGATTTATGTTTTTTGGTGTTTATCTCCTACTTCCACAGCGACACAAATATTTTCATTAGTTTAAGAAACTAGTATAAAAATACAAAATATTTGTCCACTCAAATATTATTCCCACTTGATTTATTTTTCTAACTTTCCTCCCCTTGATTTTTTCTTTCCTCTCCGAACATCTCTCATCTTTCTTTGATCTTTACCTCAAAGGCCAAATAAAAGAATTGATAATAATAATTTTATTATCATATAATTTGTTACCTCTATTTTATTAAACTTCACCAAAGTCATGCAACCAGCAGCTCATGAAAATAATAAAGAACTTTTATTCTTTAGCATACAATGAAATAACCAAAATTTAATGTCATTTTCTTCCTCCAGCAGATTAGTTCAAAGGTTTTGCTGCAAGGTTGCTACAACCTTTGAGCAGGCATCAAACTTTTGTCCTTGTCACTGCCCAAGCGAACCTCAGAAATCAATCTTCAACAAAAACTCGCTCTAAACTCCATAACCGCAAGGCCATAAGAGTCTAGAGGATTTTACATAGAACTGCAAGCCTTGTTGTAGGACTCAACTTGTCGTAGACATGCTTACCAGTTGTCACCACCTCTCCATCCATCAGTCACCATATTGCCCTCACAGCAAGCATGTTTTCAACTCAATCACAATCACTGCATACTTGTGCATGTCACCTAGCACTTCCACCTTCAAGATCTTGATAATAACCCCCTTGTCAGTCGACTCAATGACTCTACGATACCCATCATCAGATCAAGCATCCGTTGGTTTCGCTCATTAAAAAAATAAAATAGAGTTGCAACTACAATGTGGGTCTACTGGATACTCGCAAAGGAATCTTCATTTTCCTATATTTTTTTAGTTTCCCTAATGCTATAGGTGCTGGCCTTGCTTAGATTTCTTTGAGGCATAACAGGCGGCAATATCATAATTAGTTTGATGAGAAAAAAGGGCACAAGTTTAGGCAACAAATTTTAACATATTTGACATTCATAATTTGTAAATATTAGAAATAAATATCGACCAAATCTTCTTCAAACTTTCAAAAATTTAATCAAGGATTTTATTTTAAGATTCTATGCCCCATGGCTTAACAAGTCATACAAAATTATGCATTCCAAATTGAGTTTTGGATGTTAATTTTTTATCTTCATCATTAACGCTAGGGTGTTCCCTAGAAGCGACATGTTGTATAGCATGAATACAGAGAAAAGTGTGCAAATGCACCTGCACCGGCCCCCAGATACAGTATTAAATAGGCAAGGGTTCCCACATCATGGACAGATGTGCACAAAAAAGCTAGTCCATGGAACTATAATTAGAATAAAAACTTAGAATATAGGTTCCCTTATAGACAAATTAATGGAATTAATAAATATTATGATTCATAGGAAGATAAATATTCTATGCATTCAAGAAACTAAATGGTCAGAGAAAAGGCTAAGGAGATTGATAGTTTATGAATTAAACTATGATATTCTTGTAGGTATCGTACTAGAAATGATGTAGATTTGATTTTAGATAAGAGTTTGAAGGATAATATTGTAAAAATTAATAAAATTAGATATATAATAATAATTTCAAAGAATGTTGTTGATGCTAAGATTATTAATATTATAAGAGCTTATACTCCTCAAGTAGGTTTAGATATGTGTTTAAAATTAAAATTTTAAAATGACTTAGAAAAATCAATACAAAAGGTACCTCTTGAAGAAAAAAAAATAGAAGTAATTTAAATGGACATGTTGGTAGAGAGATACATGATTTTAAAAGCATTCATGGTGGCTAGGTGTGCAAACAAGTCAAACGGCTCGCGAGCCAGCTCGAACATGACTCATTAACAAGCTCGTGATTCGAGCTTATCAAGTTTCGAGCTCGAGCAAAATTTCGAGCTCGTTGGATTATCGATATCGAGTTCGATCCAAATGATGATCGCCTCGATTACTCATCGAGCAGCTCGATTAAACGCATGCGAACTAGAGGACCGCAAAACCCGAAATGCGGAAGGTGAACTGGCGAAGCGCGGAAGGCGAAGCGCGTGCGAGAAAGGCGAAGCACATGAGAATGCCGGACCACGGAAGCTCAGGAGCTGCTCGCGAGCACATTTTACTTGCACGAGTCGACACATTTTACTTGCACGAGTCGGGCTCGAGCTCGCCTTTTGAGCTTGATTCGAGTTCGAGCTCGAGAATTGGCTCACGAGTTGAGCTCTAGTTAGGCATGACTCAAGCTAGGCTCGACTCGTTTACACCCCTAATGGTAACTATGGGTTTGGAGTGACTAATGAATATGGTACGACCACATTAAATTTTATTATAGCTTATGCTTTTTAATTGATAATATCTTATTTAAGAAAAAATATAAGCATCTCATCACTTATAATAATGAATAGAGTAAAACTCGAATTGATTATTTTCTTATATGAAAAATAAATCGTTTAGATTGCAAGAATTATAAAGTTATTGTGAGTGAAAGTTATGCATTCAACAAAACTTATTAGTTTGGACTTTGATGTAGACAAAAGGGGGGGGGTCAACTCATGTCCAAAATAAATCAATTTTGGCCTCCCTCGAGTTTACATGCTCAATAAAATTTGAGCTGGAATTTAGCTCATTTATGAGCTGATTTTGAATTCATTTATTGAACTAAGAGTTAGCTCATTATTAGCTAGGTTATAATTCATTTATTATCGCATTTATGTAGTTTTTTATTTATTGTTTTATCTTAAATTAAAGTTGTCTCTTGGGATTCCAAAATGGCTTTTGGAATCCCAAGATTTGTTTTGTTTTCCCATGCCATGGCTCCTTGGCTTCCATGGGCTGTTGTTTTCCGTGCCTTTGCCCCTTGGATTTTCGGCCGGCTGCTGGTTTTTCGCGCCTGGGATGATTCCCGTGGCTGTGGCTCCTTGGTTCCGGGCGGTCTCCTTGGCTCCCGTGCTTGCCCCTTTGGTTCCTTGGCTTGGGCTGTTTTTCCGTGAAAAGCAATTAGGTTTTTAATGTTTGTGATGTTTAGAATTCCTATGTGAATTCATTGTTTGTGTCCTTTGGTATTCCCCTTTCATACCTATAAATATGAGGGGTTATGTATTGTTTTAAAATAGTGAATGATAAGTGATTTTTGGAAATGTAAACCTGCAAGTTTCATTGGAAAAACTTGCGAGCTTTGTCCGTCTTCTTTCTCATCCCCTCCGAAAATCTTGCGAGCTCTTTCCAACCTTTCGTCTCGGCTTCTAATCTTTTTCGTCTCTCCGTAAGTGCCACTCCATCTTTATCTTTCGTCTCTAAGTGAAGCAACTTTAGGGTGTCTTTTGATTTCGATTCGAGTTTGTTAAATCGTCGTTTGTAGTCTTTTAATTTCTTCTTTTTTAGTTTAATTTGAAATGTAAGAGTTTGTTTTTCCTCATCTTTAGTCCATTCTTCTATTTTAGTGTGTTAGCAGGTGTTCGGGTGGCTCATCTCTTTTGTGTGGGCGAGGGGTATAGGCATCCCTATATTTCTTGCCCCCCCCCCACACCATACTTTAAGATGAAAAGTTGAAATATAGAAAATAAAGTAAAACGTTGATCTAGAATTAGATATTCAGAAATATTTTTGAGAATAAGATTTAGATGGGGGAATTAATTTTCTACTTGACATAAAAAAGACTAGTCAGAACCCATCAATACATCTCTCCCAGTAGTAACGCATTAATTTGATTCAAAGAACTACCCCAAATTTATCGGATGAGGCTGATGATGATCATCATGAAAATGTCTCAGGCATACCAATTAATAGAGAAAAAAATCTCAAGGCGTACATGAAAAGAAAGGAAGGAAAACGGAAGGGAAAATGTAAATCCGCGCTTTAGTTACTTTCAAATTAGAGACATTCCACAGAGACTTCATCTCCATGTCGGTGGTCGATTCCACAATACCACGCGGAAGAGCTGCGATGCTGCTCTTGAACTGCTTCTGAAACAACAAAACCAAATGATAACCGTTATGTTACCCACGGAGATACGCAATACCAAAAAGTTGCGTTCTTTCCAGATCCGTACCTGCATCACCTTCCGCGGGCGTATCCTTTCCGTCACCTGTCCATAATCAGACCACAGTTAAACCCGTCGGGAAAAACAGAAAACGTGAATAAATGAGAGAGATAGAGAGAAAAAGATATAATAAGAACAAGAAGACCTTGAGATGGTCGTGCTGGATCTTCATGGTGACAGAGGCGAGGACTACCACAGCCATCAGGAACACAATGAGACCGACGGAAGCTCGCTTCTTCATTTCGGCTTCACTAGCACGGTCTCTCCTTCTCTGTTTTTCTCGTTATACTCTCTCTCTCTCTCTCTCTCTCTCTCTCTCTCTCTCTCTCTCTCTCTCTCTCTCTTCCCCTCCGTCAATCTCCACGGCTCTTCGGCTCCCAGCGTTCATCCACAGAAAGGAAAGCGACACCGCTCGTTTTTTGCGGTGGGACAGTGGGAGCGGTGAGAGGCGCTTGATGACGACGATTAAAACAGTCCAGCATATTTTTTTTTTTTTTAAGCAATGATAACCTGTCATGCGCACAATCTTAAAAAAAAAATCTAGATTTATTATAATACCGTCATAAGTACGGTTAGGATGTTCGTGAACATATTTTTGCTTTAAATACATCTCAAAGAAATAAATTTAATTTAAAATAATATAATATTAGGTTTTAATTAAATATGTTATATTATATTTATTTTAAAATAAATTTAATAATTTTGATGTATATTTTAATTTAAATTTGACTCTGACATTCTAATTCAAAAATTTTTCTATTTTTCTCATATTTTATTAAATCTTATAATTTACAAAAAACTTTCATGTTGGCTGTTCAGAATTTTCGCAACATGAATTTTTATAATATAGTAATTATAAAAAAAATTGTTTTATTTTCTTTGGGAAAATTTTTTATTTATTAACTTCTAAAATTTTATTTTTCACCCATCTCAACAACTAATTTTAGAAAACATGAAGGCCTTTTTAGGATAGCTTTTTTATTACTTTATTTTTTAGACTATAAACATAATTTGTGTTTAACCACTTTGCTTCTAGAAAAATTTTGTGCTAGAAAGATGACTGTTACTTTAAATTTTTAAAAAATTATTTTCTCTACTGCAACATTTTAAACACTTTTACAAAAAGCTACAACCATCTCAAATGAACTCTAAAATTGTTGTGTATGCTAGGTAATTGGTTCGATTTTGCTTGGCAATAACCAATACCGGAGGAGCAATACCGAGTAAATACCGAGTTTTATTTTTCTTGTACCGAAGTGTAGTCGAGTTTTCTTATAGGGTATGGTACAACTCCGTATTTGGATTCTTCTTAGAAAAAAACTCACGGTTACAATTAGGTATTTGCTCGTATTGGTCTTCACAGACGGTATTCTCGTTATGTCATGCAATACCTGAGTAATACATCGCAATATGCGGAAACATAGCCATCCTGGTTGACCGTCCGGGTCAAGTCGTCGGGCCGCGCGGTAGAGAATAAAAGCACGTGGCGTATATGTTATGGGGTGTTTCTATTCGAACATTAGCTCACGTCCAACGTCCGGTCATGAGGACATAATAAATTGTTCCTATTTTAGAGTGAAAGAAATTTGTAAAAGAAAAAAAAATTATGTAAAGAAATTTTTTTTACTTTTTTTTAGCCATCCGCGGAATCGCTATAAACCGTAAGCTTACCCTGGACCCCGACCAAGAACTGCTGACTCAGAGTCTGGTGTCGGTTGACCAGCGCATCCTCTGAAAGTCTCGTTTTCATGGCCTCTCGACTTGCGGAGATTCTTTTCAAAAGGGCCCCGCAGCAACTTCCGTTGGTCATATATAAAGCGGTGTGGTGCACTCCATGGATTTTTCTCCTCCACATTTCTGTCGATTTTATCTCAGACTTCCCTTACTTTGCCGAGGCCATTGTTGTGAAAGCCCGTCAACTATTCTCTTACTCTCAAGAACAAAACCTAGGAAACCCAACTGACAGCTTCACTGTGCAGTGAACTTTAGAACATTTTGGTTCTATTTCTTGGGTTTACGAAAAAGCGATTCTCAATATTTATCGCACTGATTTTGATGAGGTCGCCGCTTTCTCCAATCCTGCTTCTAAGAGAGAGACGGAACTGTCTGAAATTCGGCCTATCACCGATGCACGTATAGTCGCTGCGGCTGCCGCTACGGGGTAATTCGTAATTTCTCGCTGTGGCCGAATCGATGCTCCTGTATTCCTGTATAAGCTTTGCTCTCGTCCCATGAGGCAGTAACCCCCTTCTTTCTAAGCCCAGGTCACGACCTTCGGGTTGAGCTTTCTTTTGGCAAGTAGTTATTATTTATGTTTTGTTTTAACGATGGAGGGTTGTTTTCGCAGAGTTCTCTTTTTATAAGCGAAAGCTTGTTTTAAACTTAGGACATTAAAAACTTGTAAGGAAACTTTGATTGTTTTTTTTACTATCAAAATTTCATGCAGTTTAGGTTGATCAAAAGCCACCCTAATTGATTAAATCTTCGTTCTTCCTCCCAAAAATCTTTACTATAAGATTGTGAGATTTCTATATGAGATAACATGCCGTTTCTAGAATCTATTGTATATTTACTGTTCTGCACAAATGGAGCCCTCCTAACCGTTCCTTTCAGGGTGTTTAGCTTGTGTTCTCTAGGAACTTCATACGCTCCGACCCTTAATCTGACAAATGATGGCAAGCTTAAAACCCACTCACTAAGTTAGAAATAAAGGAAAATTACATAATAATGGGCTACAAAAGCCGTTAATCTTTCAGGCATTCCTTCAAATGTTTATAAGCAGACTTTGCTCATTCTGCTGGGGTGAGAGGAAATGGTCTCATGCTTGGTATGGGTAATCTTCTTAAAATTTATAATGAATGCTGCAAGGCACAACTAGGTATATAGGATTGAGAGGGGAACATCTCTCTTTTGAAAATAGATGAAAGAAGTGGTGACATGTGGACTATCCGTCCTCGAGGAAGTTAATTATTATTGGAAGGAGATGAATAGACTAAAAGATTTGGGAGGCTGGAATCCTTAGCCCATTCCAAATCGAAATAAAAAATATTGCAGATGTTTCCCAAACCATGCCAGGCTTAAAATGGGTCAACAGATTTTTTTCCTTCCATCATAAGGGAGTAGCCTTTGTGGTATAACATGTACAAAATGATTATTCTTACATGCTTACTTCAACCATTACATGATTTATTGTTTAGCATTAACATGGTATGATTACTTAGTGATCTTATGGTATGAATTAATACTTAATTTGTGAAATTAAGAAGCAATTTGGAGGAAAGGAAAGAATCGGTTGGTTAAAGGGTTGAATGAACGATAAGATTAACTGAAGATTTGTGTTAGATCGTAGTCACTGCCAAGAATGTTATGGTCATCAATCTTCATGAGCTTGAAAAATTCAATCTCAAATTCTGAAGCACAACATAAATTTAAAGAATCTTCCAGCGAGTTTGTTGAAATGCATTGGTACCGCCTTCACCAACTAGATAGAGATGTGGCTTATCGTGACCTAAGCCTAAACAAGTTATTGCTCATTCTTCAATGTTTAAGCTTTAGGGTAATCCAAAGTGGAGGTTGAAATGACAATTGCCCGAGATAAAGTGACACAGCCCGAACGAAAGAAGTAAGAGAAGAATAAAAGGTTTTGGTTAAGAGGGACCAAAGTAGGAAAAGGTGGTACATTTAACTAAAAATCCACCAGGCAATAGGATGAAAAAAAAATAAAGAAATAAGTAGTAAATCAATATATCACTCCAATAATTTGAATGCCTCTAATATAAGTGTTTTATTAACCCCTTATATTAGACTAAGAGGCTTCACAATTTTACAATGCTAAATGCATTTAAACTATTGGTTGGAGGCAAACATTCTATCAACAAATGATTGAAACCAAAATAAACACATGATATTAAAAGCGCAATGTGGAAATGAATCTAACCAATTTGATTATCCCACACCATTTAACCATGACGAAGAATTAGACAGATTAAAGACCAGGTGGTATTTGGTGGAGAAACTAGATATTGCACCTCTCTAATTATCTCAGATGTAAACAAGTATACATTTTATCATGATTTGTTGACATTAATCATGGAAAAATCAATGAGTGTTGTAAACTGATAGATTTGTTAATAATCTGAAGGGAAACTCTGGGAGCTAGAACATCAATGTAATAATGAATTAGATAAGCTAAAAAATCTGTATTTGAAAGTTTTAGTTGGTCTATTCAGTGGGTGGTGGATCATTGTTTTTTAAAAGTGTGCAATATGAGCCTTGGCCTTGAGGCCCGCCTCCATGCAATTCTATTGAAAAAACACATCAAGGCTTGTTATGCATTTCTATTTTTTTATGAGGTTGCGCCTTTCAACTTGGGGCTTTTAAGACCACCGCCCTTGAGGAACGCATCGCCTCCTGGCGTGAGGCATATGCCTCACCCTATGATATTGTTTTTATTAAAACTTAACATAAATTCCCACCTCAGGCACATTCGAGCCACAACCAACTTCCTCTCGACTATGTACGTAGCCAAACACCGTGTAGTCGTCACTCGTCACCGACATCACTTTAAAAGTTGCACCACCACCTCTATAAAAATTTTGGAGTATAGTATTAATCTCATATTTATGTTTGGTTGAAAAACATTTATTATAAAAGATTGACATGATTGAAAAAATTAAGAAGATAGATGAAGTTCATTTGACTCCCACCAAATGAGGCAAGGATAGACTCTAATTTGTTATGGAGACAAATCAAATAAAGACCACTTTCAATGATACCAATTAAAGATGATTTCTGAGGTTCCTTGCACTATTTCAGCTTTTCGTTTAGGAATTAAATGTAAAGGAGTTAAAGGGAATTAAGTAAGAAAGAAATTTAGAGTTAAAACATGAGTGTTGAACATTGTATTATATGATACTTACTTTTATTGCAATCTTTATTTATATTTTTACTCTTAAATATTTGATTTTAAATTCTATTTCACGTAATTTATTCACTTGTCATTTTACATCTTGCACAATTTTGTTTCGGTATCTATGCCCAATTTATTAGTTTCATAATTTAATAGGAAGTTAATATCATCATTGAACATATTATTAGGTATATATAAAAAATCATCTTTGACCTTTTATTTTTATTTAAACATTTTTATTTTATTTTATTTTTTGAGATTTACGCCTCGCCTTAAGAACAAAAAAATTGCCTCAATTACCTACCTAATCTGCACATTTTTAAACCTCTGGTTGGTATATAGTTTTAAGCTGTATGAATAAAAAAAGGTTGGTTAATGTTATGATGCAACGAGTACAAACATGGGACACATAATATATTGATACGACACATATATAAAATTTATACTTCGTTAGTAAAATATTAGGAACAAAATAAAATGTTGGACACTGTTAATGATAGATATTTTTAAAAAAATAAAAGTATATATTTGATTCAATAAA